GGAATACGTTCGTTGAATCGGCGCGCTGACATGCCCGTGATTGAAGGCTCGACGACCGATTGGCCCGCGTTATATAAACCCCGCCGCTCCGATTCTTTTTGGAGGCCGAGCCCCGATCGTTTTGCCGCGGCTTCATTTCATTGGCCGATCGAGTGGATGTCTGCTTAATCACAATTTGCTCAGGCAGCCGGGAATATTCGAGCGAGCCGCGCGCTCGCCGTGCGGATTGATACAGCTCGATCGCGATGCTTTCTTTTTCGAATCTTTTTCGGACCGTCGGCGAGATATCGTGACGGAGGTTGCTTTCGGGAATGGGTAGTTACCAGTGCAGATTTTGTGAAAGGAAGTGTGTTTTACGTCAATGAATTTTTATAAATATTCTATGAAATGTTGAACCTAAAGGAATCGTATGGAAACGAGAGAGTTTGTGTTCTTTCGATACTTCGAAAGTGAACAGTCTGGTTAGACGAAAATAAATGTAGTTTAAGCAATATATTTTAAACAAAGTATTTTCGGAAAGATAGAACATCGTTGAAATAAATACGATAGAAGTTGAATAGCGGTGGCTTCTTATGAGAAACAAAATTGCAGCGATGTAGAGAAATATTTTTTTCCTTGCGGACCGTGTCGAGTAGGTATCGCAGCGATGGAATCGAGTTTAATTCGTGTTACTCGCGAGTGTACGATGCACTTCCGTATTATATACGTTCTTAACGAGTGCCCAATGTACTGCGAGTATTGCTTATCGATCAAATATCCACTCTTGTTCCCCTTTCGGGTCGGCAGGTTCGATTGAAAAATAGAAAACAGCACGATACAAATGACACGGTTCCATTAATCAGGTGCATACCGTTTCGTGATTATGAAATGCCTACGTTTTATATTTAAATATCGATTAACGAGAATTTTATGTAATATCTCGGGCAGTATTCACCGGTTACGTATTACCCTTTCCACTTCCACGGTTCATTAGCCCTGTGTGGAATATCTTCAGCGGAAATAAGCATCTGCTCGTTGAATCGGTTGATTTTAACGTATTATTATTTCGTAAACCGTACATATATTTAAGAATATATTTAAGATAATATTATGTGTCCAATGTATTTAAGAAATAAATGTATTTACAGTATAATCCGTTGGTATATTTGTATACTTGTGTCAATGTAATTCAGTTTTACAAATTAACTTACTTTTAGTTTACATTTATCATTGCCAATAAAGATTCTTGTGAAATAATATATAATTACAAATTAAATTTTAACACTTAATAATTTATCCAAAATTATTTCCATTACTTTGGACTTTGCTATTTAATTTTCTGTTTATTTCTCCTTTGGATTTTCCATTTTATATTATTTTTCCTCGATTTTCTATTATAGAGTTATTGAATGTTCTATAACACAATCTTATTTCATCTTTCTGGTTAACATTTTACACGAAATAATATTCCTTTAATGAGTCTTTACAATTATATACTTACAATGAATATGAGTTTCGATGAATGTAATCGTACTTTAATTTATATTTATATTGTGATTATACAATTTAATTTATATCACGTACCACTAGCGACAGGGAGCATTATTTTTTATGCTAATTAACACACGAATATCCTATTCGACATGTAACAACTCCAGAAGCATGGTTGTTCTTATTTTTCGCAGTGGTCCGAGGAACTTTGTCGTTGACATCTTGTGTTTAGCTCGGAACATTCGGTTATTATCAGTGTTCAACTTGTAGAGCATATTATATCTACGACAATATGAGTAGAGTTTACGTACTGCGCTCGAGTCCCGAGCAGGTACAAGTTATCAGGAACCATCAGCAACAACGTGAAACAGGGAAAGACAAAGAACATAGTTTGATAGTTCTAAGGTTGTTTCAGCTAACAATATGTCTGAACCTGCCATCAAAGGGATCATTTGACACGCTTGAAAGGTGGCCTGTCATTTTTCATTGGCTAATAAAATTAACTTCTGGAATGGAAAGCTTGATTTGGAAAGCAGGTAACAATTACGTGTAAAACTACTAACGGTTAACTGTTTCTGCAGAACACATTTAAAATATAAAATATATTTACGCTTTGTAAGATTATTTTATATAAATTTGTTTAACTTCATGTATTTATTAGGTGAGAATTGATTTTAAGTATCATTGTAACACATATTTATACATTATTGTGTATAATTACATATAATTATTAATTCTTTTATTTATAAATTACAGCGTAAGCTAAATTTGTATTATTTGTATTATTTGTAATGTAATACTCTCAAATAACTTTGAAAATTATTTTTCGAATTAAACAAGATTATATCAGAGTAATTTTTAAAACTTAAAGAAATATTCGTAGAAAAGAAATTAAGTAACAGATTTTATTACATCTAAATTAGTTTTTATTAATATTTAATAATAAGTACAAAAATATATTCGACTCGCGTTACTTTAATATTTTTAAATCATTCACTAATAAAATCAAGTTATTATTAACCAATTTATTAATGTATCACGCTACCATGTCGGTTGATCGTTCAGTATTTCAATCCGAAATTTTCAATGGCCACGACCTTATTTTGAAACGGTAAATCCAACATGATTCCGAATCGCGAAACCACTTAACAATTACTTCAGTCCGCTAAGCAATCGCCGTTACACGAGCATCTAGTTAATAGGTAATTATCACTGGTCGCGGTGGTTATGACGTTTACGGCGAACAATTCATTCGAAACCGAACGAGATAATTTCGCTAAACGAAATAACGCTGAAAACATCTATTACCTCGTCACGAGTTCGAAAATGGGAGCACGCTGGAAACGAACATCACCGGCGATCGCATAATTAAACCGCTTTCGGTCTTGCACCTGTCTCGTAATAATTGGCATTTTCATCGGGACGACAATATCAATTTCAAAGCATCGCAATGCGATGACCTCGTCTCAACAAAAGAAATTTATTTTTCTGTTTCTCTTCACATTTTTCATTCTTGCCTCGGAGAACGAAATTCCTTGTGGTATTTACTTTGGATTTCAAAAATGACGCTTTCCTCCGATAAATCCAATATGTGGCGACGTTTCCTCTTTTCTGCTTGTTTTCAACTCTATTTTGACCTTTTCCAACGTATCAAATATTGTTATAGAAGATTCGAGTAAAAAGTAATAACAGAGAATGTTATTAGCGCCATGAAAGACAATAAAGAAATATTTTCTGAATATTCTTGCGGAGCAACTGCTTTAAAGGAATTTATTATTCTTTTTACTAGATTGTGAAATACTCAATTGAAATGTGTAAGTTTGAAAAGACCTTTCTCTAAAAATCATAAGTGCATCTGCCAAAATATGCAATAGTCGAAGTTAAAAAATTATCGTATAAAAATAAATGAAGTTAACGATTTTATTCTCCGAGATTTTATGAGAAAAATTTCCCAAATGAAATAGAAGCAGTACGTTAAAAGAAATGATGCGTTTTTCTTATGGAAAATTCCAGTTTCTTTCGTTACAAGTAATAAAAGTGGATATTTGATTTAAGGAACGGATGCGGACTCTTAATAGAAACCCACATGCAAAAATTTGAAGTCAATTAGTCAAACGTGGCTCGAGTTTTCGCGCTCGCCGTAGAGTGAAAACTAGGTTGGAGAAAAACGTGCGTTTTTTGCCAAACCGCAATGTACCTGAGTCGTGTTTCGTTGGAAATGTTACAGCTTCGTTAATTTTTCAAACTTCTTCGCCGAATTTGCTTTACAACGTTGCCGAAATATTAATCTCTGAAAATGTACAAACGAGAACAGGCTTTTTAAAAATGTCCGGTGTTTATCCCTGTTGCGAACGACAAAGCTTATTCTTTCGGTAATACATTTTTAGCAGGAAAGCAAATTATACAGTCATAGTAGGAGTAAATTTACGGTGAAGGTTAAATATTCATAAGCTAGAAGTAGTAGTTTACTTGAATGTATGTGAAGTGAGTAATATTCAAATTTATTAAATTCAGTGTAAAGTTCTCACAGTGAGATTAACTACGCATTATAAAGTAAGGGGTTAGCATACATTAATAAATTAAGAAATTAAGTAAATTAATAAACAAATGCTAATCAAAAAATCTTCTTCTATCTGTATGTATGCAATTAAATTGCTACGTGATTTTTGATTTTTCTCAATTCGATTACCAATTATCAATTTCCTATCAATTATCAGTACAATACAAATCTAGAACACTTTAAAAATTGTTTAACAGTGATACAATAATTTTTCCAATTATTAACATTTTTCACATTTTCCTAATTTAAACGAGAGTGCAGTTATTGATTTGAAAGTTGAATTAATAGAAAAAGGTGTAATTTTTCTACATTGTTCTCACGGTAAATGACAATTAACGTAATGTATAATTGTAAACAATGTACACTGCCCATGCTTATAAATGGAAGAATCCTTCGCGGCAAAGAAGAGAGAAATTTATTGTCCGCCACGCGTACTCTAACTTTCAGATTTCACGACGAGCTTATAATTAAAGGAAGTTTCAATAGTACTGTGAAAAATTAACGAGCTGTAAAGTTAATTAATTCCAGATGCATTCCGAATGATTACTGAAACGAGTGAAAGCTTCTCCCGGATATTTTTCGTTAGAATTTTTTGGAACTATAATATTATTCATGACACAAAATTCTGCCGCATCTCCATGACGGATATAGTCGTCAAACACACTTAATCGGGTAAAGAAACGATTTTTAATTTTTAATCGTAATTTAATATTCGAAACACTATAAATAAACGACTTTTAAATTTTTTAAGTAAAATGTTAAATATCCTTGTTTAATAAAATATGATGTCGTCTTTGTCAATAGAAATTTAATTATGTAATATTTTTTTAATTTATCGTTATTCGAGGTTCACAAAAATTGTCGGTCCAACGAAAAGAAACTGATTTTGCATGCAATAATAAATGAAAAATGGAAAATATAATTTTCCTTCCGTGGAGCTCTGGTTGCAGGAAAACCCAATTCAAAAATTTGTCGGACACGCGTGCGACTAAATGCAGCTTGATTACAGTATTATTGCATTATTTATTACTTTACGTCCGCTTTAACGTTCATGAATATTAATAATGACTGATTACTAATAAAATATTATTCGTTTATCACAAAAATTTGACATTGATTGGCGAATGATGAATAACACTTTTAAAATCCATAAAACACGTCAACATTAAAGGTTTTAAATAATTCAAATTTTCGTTTTAACATAATGAAACCTTTATTATACTTTGTTCATCTTTCTTCATGTTCGCTTACACTTTTTATGAGTGTTAATATCAAAACTAGGAATGATTATCTTTATATTTCATAGTTATTAATCTTTTGGTATATCATTTATACAGAAATATTTGAAAATATCCATTGATTTAGTACCTAATCGTAAAAAATATATTTACAATGATAATGTTGATATTTTACGTTGTAAAATTATAGTTTACGTGTTATATTGTTAATTTTTTAAACTTCGTGTTACCTGCAGCTGTATTATTACGAAATTATTTAATTAATAATCATCATAATAAAAGTGGGCATGTACTTACAATATACATTTATCATAAAATTATGGTATCATAAGATTTATCATAAATATTAATAATATAATAATGTGGTCATATAGATTATCTATTCATTGACAATCTAGTCTAAGAGCGTATGTGCATACAAGCTAATGATGCAAATGGGTTAATAGGAATGTTTATAAAACTGTTCACTCACCATTGAGAACGTGTACGTTGACGCTGGCCTCCTCCGCCACAGTGGGTACACATCTGTAGATTCCCGAGTCCTGTGGTTTTGCATGAGTGATACTTAAACTGCAATAAAACGAAACACCGACGTTCGCGTTAGTAACAAATATTTCAACACAGCGATTAAATTCACTCCTCATTGCATTCGAGGTATGCTTTTACGAGTGAGTTCGGTAACACTCCAGTTAACACTTAAAATATGTCCTTGAAAGACTAAATATTAAATGAAACAGTTTCAACTAATTAAGAGCATACACGTCATCTTAAAATCGAAATGATACCGATTCTTTCAAACAGTCGATCATTTGTTTTTTATATCGAAATATTGAAATATAATAAATACGATCCATTAATGTTGAACAATATTTAAATCAAAGTAATTGTAAATTATTAAGATAATGTGACAAGATAAAGTCATATAAATTCTGGAGCGAAATTTTCTAAAGTTGTGGTCGTCTATTGATCCATTTATGCTTTAATGTAATACGAAGCTTTCTGCAGCATGGGTTTAATGGAAATAAACGACGTTAACCCTTCGTTATCGACATAAGATTTCATGGTACGAAGAATATGAATAAAATTTTTAAACATCCGACGCCAGCTTAAAAGTTATTTGATATATTCTTAATTTTTTAACATTAAATTCAAACACATTATAATTGACCTTCGAACCTCAGATAATATGACTTCCACATAAGATTCATTCTGTACCAATATTTATTTTCTTAAAACAAATATTTACTTGAATATTTCGAAAAAATGTCCAACGTTGCTGGAGGAAACGTAGACATTTCCAAATTCAGTTTTTAGCACAACTCACTCTACATTCCGATAAAAATATCTTAGAGCTGCTGGCTTCAAAAATTTTCTCAAGTATAAAGGAATGAGGTAAATATTTCCTATGTAAGGGGCGATTCGTCTCTTGACACGGCTCCGAAACATTTCTTCGGAATACGCGTACTTATTCGCGTAAATATAATCAACGAGTAGGATATCTGGTTAGAAGTTTAATATTCGTAAACGCGTTTACTACCAACGTCAGATATTTTTGTCGGTCACAATTCTATGCTTTGTATGACGAAAATGAAATTAATATATTTAGAAACTTAATAACTCTTATTAGTTTTATTTCTTGCAATATTTCATTTTATTCTTATTGTATAAAGAACATTAAATTAATGCTACAGTCGTGCTATTGCCATTATAAATGATAAAATTATAAAATATGAAATTACACGTAAGAATTCGATAACTCTTTTTAATTTCCGTAATATTTTATTCAGAAGATTTGTTGGATTTAATAGAACATCGTGTTGAAATTGTGTGCTAAGAACGTGTTAAAATTTCCGAATCGTGATGGAAGTTGAAGCTAAATATCGCATTGTTATCGACTCTATTGAAATACAAAACTCGCGACAAATTTCACGGGGGAGCAGTTCCTATCCAAGGAAACGATTTATTTTACTCACGGCTGACACAGCGCCGGTAGTGCTGTGTGCGTTATGTATGTTGCACTGAGAGAAGCGTATTGGACCATTATTACGACGGTGAAACGAATGATGTACAATCCTGTCACGAGGATAATACGATTAGGTGAACATGATCGTCGAATTTATTTTGCGACGTTCGCCTATTACGTTCGATACTGCTGCAACCTTCGACAACAGTCGTTCGCTGTATTTTAGTCGAGAACACGACATATTCAGTCATCCCACGAATAATGCGATTTTAGTAAATCTTTTTATTTTCAATAATTAAGATGAATAAAACCTTTTTAAATCTAACAGTCCTGCAGGTACCGAGAGTATCTTCGCGTGACGTCATGGAAATTCGCGTGCCTCGACCGTAGCAGATAAAAAACTGTACGAAGCGCCTTGACCCTAATGAAACATGCAAAGAGTAAATATCCAAAATGTAAAAATGCCAATCCTCGAACAGCTGACGGTGGTTGAAGGTAATGGTCGATGGCTTCGTAGTCATTTGAGCCACGATCCCTTGAAAGATTTAGAGGAGCGTTGACGTAACGGTGATTCAGCTTGTGGGACCGCCACTTCCCCTACCACCAGGTGGCCTCCGGAGGGGCACCGGTAAATACAGAATGAAACAAGGAGAAGCCAGCGGTAACAGTGGAATCATAAAAATTGAAGCAAGAAAACTTCCGGCGAGTCGCCGTTAATCGGGCTGTAACGTAATTTTTACTACCTGAATCTCCATCGCGCGCGAGCAATAAAGCGGGCGTTACTTTGTCGAGCGTACGGCACAGTTCCGAATGGCCGAGCGGACGTTCGAACGAGTGTCTTCCCGGGCAGCGGCAAATAATTTGACGTCGGGTACACTGGTCGCGCGACACCGGCGCTCGTAAAGAAGTTTCGCCAACTTGCTCCCAATGGATTATTGATTAATCATTTACTTCCCGTATTTCAGTAGTTAGTGTCATCGCACACCACTGCAACGTATTGTACTCCGGGGACTAATAACGATCGTTTAAGGGCTGCGTAACGGTGTCCAAAACCACCCCGTGCCCGGCAGGTCATATATCGAGCAACCGAGCCTTGAGAAATGATTATTTTAAAGCCGGCTGAATATTAACTACGTTGCTTTTAATAAACTCGCGAGGGAATGAAGATGTACGCGACGGGCTGGACCGCGAATGTTTACGAGAAAGATCTTCCTGAATCGTTTTTGATCTTTTCGTCAAAGAGAGGGCCAAGAACAGATACGTTTAAGTGAAATCGAGGCTTTTCAATGGAAGAAATAAGATAATCCTTTTAACCAGTTGACTGTGGAATTTAAACAATCAAATGTATACTCGTCAGATGCAGAGAAAATGCATGAGTAACATATTCTAACGAAAAACTAAAGCAAAGCGAAGAATTACACATTTATCTGAAAAAATGAATAATTTGTCGTTGAAAAAATTATATATTGGTAACTTAAAATGTTCAGGGTACCTATATGTACCATACGGTACGAAAGATTTAACCAATTAATGTTACGACGGGTGTACTCGTCAAAATAGCTATAATTTTGTTCTAGAACCGAGTCAGATTCAGATTTCAAACTGTATTTAATGAGCGTAAATATTATCTATTTAAATCTTAATGGTTTCGATGTTTCTCGTTACAATAATTCCCTGCTTATAATAATTACTATTTCCCCATGAATTATTTCTCTGGAAAATGATCGATGTCAGAGTCGCTTTCATAAATGTGCAAGGAAAAGTATAATGTAAAGAGTTAAAGAAGAACAGTTAAAAGGTTATATGAGAAATAGGAATAACAACGAAAAATTCGACATTTCGCATTAACACGCGTTCGAAGTTATTTACCCTACTATTTACCCAATATTCCCTCGCTTCGTTGTCATCCGGCATCGCGACTGCACTACGAACGTGCATAACCTGACTTCCGAAACCGAATGTTCCGCGTGCTCACGCGTCGCAACATTTTTTCTCCATTTGTATGCATTTTGGCGATGCCCGGCGCGCGATATAATATTCAGTTGGTCCTCGGGCGAAGAGGAAACAGGGGAGTCCTTTGTCAGGTGGCCTCTGCACCGTGAAGACGTATCGGGCATGCTCTGCATTTCTAGCCGGCCCTTGTCAGCCCTGCCGTTCGTGTGTCGCGCGAATATTGCAGCCGGGATGCATCTGTTTTTGGACGTGATTGACGATTGTCAGGAGCACGGCGTTTCGCGTCGACGAATTCACGCGAGCCTACCAGCCCTCCCGCGTGTCTCTCTTGAGTCAAGAACCTGAATTAGCTCTCTCCCGTGGATACAATCGCGCGCGACGCGTCGCCTCCGTCTCGTAGGAATGAAATCAGCGCATTCAATTGCTCTGACATTCACGCATTCCGACGGCTGCATTGACGGATCAGCCGAGGACCGGGGTAAAATGTGCGATTCGTGGGAAATTCGATTACGTTGTGAAACTAATGACTTGTATTATCCCTTTGTACTTCGGAAGCATTTTTCACTGGAAATACTCAACGGTTTCTATGTAATGAGATACAGATGACATTTCCTGAAAATGGTTTGAGAAATTCTACATAATTTGAGGAGCTTTTGTTCCAGAACCGGAAAGGAAACTCGTGTAACTACCATTTAATTAACTCCCGTTACGTATTAGAAATATTCAACATTTTTTAATAAAGATTATACATTTTCTTAAAGTAATGCAAAGGGTTAAATTATATTATATTATAAAACTTCGTATAAAACTTATACGTATATATAAAAACCAACAATTGAAATGGAATTTCTTTTTTTTCGAATTTATCATTTCTAATTATTAATCAAAGCTAATCGAACCAGCTATTGCATTCGAGTTTTCAGGAATATGGCAAAACACTATTTCGAGTAATTTCAGGAGAATATAATTTTGTAAAATTAATACTGACAACGACATAGCAACCCTTAACTTTGAATTCATTTGTTCGTAAATATTATACAGTAAATAAGCGTTAGGTTTATTTTATATATCCTTCTAAGTTTCAGTCAATGATTAAGGGAAAGAATTAATAATTCGTTCTTCGGTGATTATTTTTACGAAACAACTGGTTCAATGACATCAAACAGAAAAGTAAAACTTTGATTTGTTTTTTCGAATTATTTTTATACCTGGGATAATTATTAGTTTCGATGCGGGGTGCGCGATAAGAATAAAGTGAAATCCCAGCGGTAATTAACTTACTTCGATGTGAGGGCGTCACTCCACTCAGTTTCGACGGTGACACGGGGGCCGTTCACATCGTTCTCAGAATGCGGCGACGTCACCACCGGCTGACTATCACGGTACCAAGATACTGTGCCCAAATCATGAGGCCCTTGGGACATCGTGCAGGACAGTGTGAAAGGGCTGCCGGTTTTCACGTACACGTCTGGCAGGCCACTTATTATGGCTCGTGCCTCTGCAACAAATAATGTTTCCCTCCATTAGTAACATTTACAGGAGTATTTAGGAAAAGTAAAATTTCGTTAAAATTCCTCTTCTGAAATATATCGATTTCTTCAGTAATATAATTCCTTTAAATAATAATAATTGATATAAAGTAGCAGAGTTTATAATGAAAATAAAATAGCATGGAATATATAAAACATAGAAATTGAGTGTTCTTTTAGTTTTAAATGAATTATAAAATTTTTATATTATATTATATAATAACAAAAATTACAACTTAGAAGTTGTCGAACAGGATGAATCAAGAAAACTGTTCTCTTCCGAATTAATTAAGAACTTAAATCTTCTTAATGATCGACGAGTGATTTTATAACTTCACGAATTTTCGTTACAGAATAAATCACTTCGAAGTTATTCATCCCTCGAACTAATCTCATTGATAGCTGCTTAATCTTCGATCACGAAGCTTACTCTATAATTTTCATATTAATTACCCAATATAATGCCAAACTACAAAATAAAATATTTTAACCCTTTGCATGTTTTATCAATATGTATTGTAATTATCTGTAATATCATTACCGTATTCTACGTGAAGTACAATTTTAGTGTTCAAATACAAGGTGTGATGACAAATTTCCAGAACACAATTTGCACAACGCGGTAGGTGTGAGCTTAGGATACGAAATATGAAAATACGATTTTCTACTGTGTATTCTACAAACTCACCGAGTTTCGTTAACCACAGTGTTCGTTTAGTTAAGTTAACGTTTATTTTACGAAAACGTGTTTCACATTTTCGCCGGTTTCCAATAGTGACTGGTCTTAAAAAGTATTTTTATAAAATTGTATTTCGATTCAATTTCGATTCAATCGGGTTTCTAACTCATAGTGTTTCGAATTATCTAGATTCGACTGCAAGTTCCATTGTGAAAAATCTAAAAAAATAAACCGTAGCCATAATCAAAGATCAAATACTCGTTCAATCTTTCCGATTTGGTCGCGTTCTATTTTATTTCATTTTCTTAAAAACGTTTCTAAATACAGAAGGTATAAGAGAATAGTTACTGTATCATGTATTTCTATTTTTTTGAATAACAGTTTAAATCCACAGATTATGTAACGTCAGCAGCAGTGTTAAAGGACAGGAGTCCCAATACATTCTGAGTAAACGTTGATTGTAGATTCCGAGCTCTGTCAATAGTGATTCTAATAGAACTTTGATTTACATGTAAAGTACATTTCGACTTGGTTGAGAGGGTGGACTTCGTCTGCATTCGAGTTTTAGAGGTTCCTATAATGGAATGAAAGGGAATGGAGGAACTCTGTAAATTATGGAGACTTTCGAGCTATCTGTGAGAGGATTTTTGTGAAAACAATATATTTCACAACGATCGATTAATTGAATATCACATTTTAAATCGAGTTCATATAACTGAACGATAAAACAAAAAATACAATATTAAACATCTGCTATCGAACATCAATGTTTCTAGGAACGATACAATAAAGTGTAAAATAAATGCCCGTAAGTTGTATTTCTACGTGTTGTCCATATTGTTTCTTTATCTCATTAAATATATTTATTCCTAATTCTCTTTTCACCGAAGATCCACATTTTCACTATCCACAATAATAGTAGCCGCACTATAACATTAACGCAAGTTCCGCGTTGAAAACCCGAGGAAGAAAAACCGCAGCCCGATCAGGGACGTTTATCTTCTACTTCCGGCGAGCGATCCGAATTAATTCAAGGATGCGCGTGATTAAGGGAGCAAAGTGCCGATATATGTTGAGTGAACCTTGATCGCGGCTCCCGAAGCTATGTCAATGTTATACGCTATTATCCTATAACCGGAGCCGATAAATTATTCATATTGCGGACAAATCACGTTGCGTGTAAGCTCCCGGCAGCGTTTTCATCCCTGTTAGCGGCCGGATCGGCCTACTTTGCCGTCGGCGTGCGAATGTTTCCGCACTGTGCATTCATAATGGTCGGGCAATTATGCGCGAGGAAAACTGTCGCCGAAACGAACGACACGGGACAAAGTTTGCTGGAACCATACGCGGGACCTGTGTTTAAAACTATCGTTATCTATCCGTTTTACGCGCGGCTCGTGCGCTGAGTATCTGGTCAAACAAGGTGTACAGGCAATTAAGGAACGATTCATAAAATTTTACGAGTGAGGAGCATAAAATAAACTGTTTCGTGGCTTTAAGTTTCATAGGACGACGAATTTACGCGTATTGCGACGATAGCGGCACTTCCGCCGACGAGAAAACAGAAAAATAATAAGTACTCGTGTAAATGCTGGTGTTAACGCTGGAACCAGTGTTTAATACGATTAACACCTTGCCTTACAGTGTTAGACTCGCGGTGAAGACTTAACAGAATTTAACAGGCATGAATATTACTCGATTCTTTTGAATTCGAATTAATTATTCTTCTGTTATCAATTATTATACTTTTTTTCCTTTTTCTTAAGAAATTATTAGTGACGTACTTGTATCGATCATAGTTGAGAAATGAATCGCAGGGTTAATATGTAATTTCTATAAAAATTGTAACAATAGATCTTCAATTTCTGCGCACAATAATTATATTTAAATGAAACTATTTTCAAGATCATTTCCTGCGTTCAATGTTTTTACGATATCAATAACTGCGAAATAAAAAGATCGTTTATTAAGATTCTTAGTTGTACGATTGAATCGTTTAACACGTTCGCGACCAGCTTCTATTTGTAATGTTCAACATTTTCCATCTCTCGTAAAGAACGTTAAATTACTTTCTCGAGTGTTTATGTACTGAAAATCGTAAAACATAGTATGACGTGTACATAGGAAGTTGACGAGACTTCTTGAATTTTATTTGCATTTTACAACGGCGATACGTTGCATTCGATAAAATATTGCAACTATGAAGATTGCTATTGAAACGCGTTAAATTGAGAATGTCCGCGGTTTAATTTAAAAGCGAGAGGAGAAATGAGAATGTAAGACTGATTTATGATTCGAAGATTGAAGATTGCTATTCTGAAGATCGCCATTGAAACGTGTTAAACTGAGAATGCCTGTAGCTTAATTTAAAAGCGAGGGAAGAAATGATGCAAGATTTATTTATGATTTAACATTTTATTGTATTTAGTGATTCGAATGTTTGGAGTTGTGTTTAATATCTGTAGGCGACAAAGAAAATAAATTAACGAATAGTATGGTCCAATGTTTTTTTACTTTAGCAGGTTCATTGAAAGATCCTTTGTTTCAGCGAACAGGTGTATACTTCATTGTTCCTTCGTCTAATTCGTTCATAATGAACGATATCGCAAATTACGAGATGTTTTCATTTCAATGGAATTTACTGCATTTTAAGATCATAATACTTCGGCTCTTCATTAGGTAATTAACTTTCTACGGCAAAATCCTCATTAAGAAGAAGGAAAGCCGTTTCGATTAAAGCAGCACAATAAATTTCTGTGCTGAGATGCAGTTCTATAGGTGTATAAATTAAATTGGAATATTATATAAGAGCTCGAACACTTCTCCGTATTTCATCTATTAAAAAGTTAGTTCTCTTCTCGTGGAATAAATGATTTGAAACTTTCGAACGATAACGAGTGTTAGTACATTAATAACAGAAATTTATAAGAAGAGGTTCAATTAGAAATAACTAATTTTCCTTTGATCTCTTTTAACCCTTCGCACTTAACCGACTTAAAACCGTCACTTAGTTTCATACCGTAAAATTATGAAATATAATACTTAGTGCTGATTCATATGTGATTTCTCTTTAAATTTAACAAAATGTATAATATTATTACAAACTTATTAAAAAAATTGTCAAAAAGATGTCGAAACAAAATCTTATCAGAAAGTGTTGAATATTTCTGATATAAGAAGGTCGTTCGTTAAATGGTAGTTATATAATTTTCCTTTCTAGCTGTCACCGTTAACGCGTTCATCACTCCGATCTTTTCAACTTTGTTTTTTAAAAGGCCTCATCAATTTCACCGTGGTCAGTGAAAGCTTTTATCGGGGAATAGTTCAATGACTCCGGCCGGGCAGATGAAAAATGTGTCTAATCACGACTGAAGAATAGCGGGCATAAGATTTACGCCATTTTGTTGCGAGGATAAAGTGTTTACAAAGGGGTGCGCGTATATTGATTTTCACTTTAAACGTTAACTTGTCACGCTGATCCCTCAATTTTTCTCATTTATTTCTCATTTATTATCTAACTGGGGCGATATCAGTTACAAACAGACTCTTGCACTTCTAAACACATTATTTTACGTTCGAACGCATCGTGTAAATTGGAAGGAAAGATTAAATTTGTACATGCAAAATATATTCAACATATTATAGTTATTAAATGGCTATTATACGCAGTTTGAATGCCCTTTCATTAGCAATCGTGGATTTCGAAACAACACAAGTTCTCTTCTTAACGTTATCCATGTGAGTTATCAACGTAATCGTATTCAGCTTACTCAAACCCATTTAATAACATTATCCAGTCAACTGCGTTCGACGAGCATACATACATGTCATCTCAAAGCTTCAAATGATACTAATCCTTTTTTTTCAGATAAACATGTAATTCTTAGCGATACTTTGATTTTTCATTAAAATGTACGCTGGGTGGCTACTGCATTTGACGAATACACCCTCCATTTTCTTATTGTATCGCGCACAAAACGAGAGATTTTTAAAAAGCTTGAATCGCCAAGAATCAACAAAATATATAACGAACGAACGAACGAAATTGAAAAGAAAGATTGACGTTCTCGAAGTGTGTTGATTAGTTGACTTACGCTCTTTCGGTATTCATGGCATCGATGCTTTCCAAAAACGTCGGTGAAACGAAGTTTCGATGAAAAACGAGACCGGCCAACGTACGAGCGTTAAACGCGGAGGACCAGTCGGGGTCAGAACAAATATTGTAAATCGGCCTCGAACAAGCGCGAAAAAATGTCCGAATTACCGATTCGACCGGCCGATTGCGGACTA